AGGGAAGCACGACCCCAAGGTTTCAGACCATAACCATCCCAGTCATCACCAGCGGCCCGAGGGTTGGGTTCGCCCTAGGGTGCGGGACCTTCTTTGGGTTTGGTCTAGGGGGGTCCCCTGGTTTTGGGTCGGTGGTTTGCTGCCCAGCGGCCTCGGAAGTGGGGAAGGCCGTTTGTTCGTGCACTGGAGCAAAGATGCTCTGGACAAACCCGGGAAGCACACAGGCGTGCGATCTGGGACCGACGCAGTCGTCATCACGACTTTGGGACGGCTCAAAGAAGGAAAGGTGGACATGCGGACAGGGGTAGACGGAGTCATCCTCACGAGCGAGGTTCCCCCGCGGTGTTTTGACCGCATCTCCATGTTTGATGGCGAGACCGGCAAGGAGGGCGATCTTGTTTGGACGCGCCAGGAAGGCCTGGTGCCCATCGAGCTGCCTACCGGGGACACCGATGAGTCGTCCTCGGAAGATGAAGCTGAGGGGCGCCAGCGGTCCGGCGCTGCGCCTTCGCAGCCCGGACGCGGCGTCAAGGAAGATTGCGAGGAGCCGGCCGCGCCCGCGGCCGTTGAGTCCAGCCCTCCGGGCCGCGATCCGGCGCCTGCGGTGTCTCCCGTCAAGGATGAGGTCAGCCCGCCAGAGCAAAGTGCGGCGCCGGCCGCGTCTCCCGTCAAAAGGAGGCCAGCGGCTAAAATCCCTAAAGGGTATCATGGTGAGCCGCCGAATTTTTGGTGGGCGCACCTCCCAAAGGAGCTATGGCAGAGAGAAGGGTACTGCTTGCTGTGCAAGACGCGGAAGGGTGTCAGGGGTGGATGCCCCGTTGATGAGGATCACCTGCTCAGTGAGCAGCACATCGAGGAAATGTTCAAGATGGAGGCTCGTTATGAAGAACAGCAGCGCCAGCAGGCCAAGGCTGCGCCTCCGCAACCTGAGCGCGAGGCACCTACGCAGCCGGCCCTTCCTGCTGCGGCCAACCCGGTCAAGGAGGAGGTGGCAGAGCCTTCAGCAGCTTCCTCTAGCGCAGGGCCTTCGGTGAAGTCGGAGGCAGAAGCGCAGGAAGCCAAGCAGGCCGTAGTAGCCTCTCTGACGCGGACTGGTGGTCTGTCTTCGGACCCCGGTCGCGCAGAATGGCCTGATCGTATGAAGGGCGAAATGTCCAAGGAGGAGCTGCAAGCCATCTGGAGTAAGGAAGGCCGGACTCGGACGGCGCGGCTTGTCGAGTCACTGCTGGGGGGTGCTGCCGCGGATGAGCTTCGGCACCAGGAAGGTGCCGCAGGCGGTCTCAGCCAGCTGATGGCTAAGCAGGAAGAGCGGCCAACGGAAGGAGGAGCCGCCAAGCTTGAAGGCAGTCTTCGGATGATCGCCTCAGCGACGACCACAGCTGCAGTCACCAGGAAGCGTTCAGGACTTCCTGTGGGTGACACAGAGAGTGGGCGCTATGGAGAGGCGGTGACTCGTGCACTGCCCGTAGCAGCAGAGCGCCTGGAGCTCGCTCATGAGACTCCGCGAGCAAGGATCGTCGGCGCCGCAGAGTCGGATACGCGACTCGACGCCGGGCTCCGTGCAGTTGCCCAAGGGTCCACTGACGTGCATGAGCCGGAAGGTCTTGAAAAAACAAGCGCGGAGCAGGATGAGAGCGGAGGAGCACAGGAAGTCGCTGGCCGCAGAGGCCGCTGCAAGCAGACTCGCCAATGAGGAGCCCGATGACTCCAGGGCCAACGCTCCCCCCCGTCCGCCGGACGACGGCCTTGATGACCTTCCCTACGAGGAAGGCAGCTGGGTTTGCGGAGCCTGCAAGACGGTCAACGGACCAAAACTGGTCCGTTGCGAGGGCTGGATCAAAGGAGAGCGTTGCGGCGAGCGCTGGGAGTCTATGGCCAGGTACGCCAAGAGCGGACCTCCTCGGCGCAGAAGCCCGGACTCTAGGAGGGAGGCCAAGCGGCTTCGGACTGAGACAGTCCTCAGTCAGGTCTTGCAACGGCCTGACAGCTGGTGGTGTAGCCGCTGTTGGTCAGGGAACTTATGCTTCCGCAACAGATGCTACAAGTGCTCTGCCATCCGGGAAGAGCCGGATGAGGGGTCGTCCGACGACGGACACCACCCGAAACCGTCACAGCAGCTGACGGAAGAGATCCAGAAGTTCTTGGCCCAATCGCAGAGACGGGTCAAGAAGAAGCGTGCTGGCACAAAGCGCAAGAAGAGTCACAAGAAGCGGAAGCGAATCCGCTCAGGAGGGTCGGCGGTGAAGTCTGCGGTTCGCAGGCTTCGCGCGACCCGGTCAGCGGTGAAGTCTACGGTTCGTGGACTTCGCGCGACCAGGAAGAAGAGACTGCGGAAGAAGACCAAGCGTCAGGGGTGGGCCTTGTCAAGGAGGGCTCGGAACCGGCGAGCGCACGCCTTGAACGGCAATGGGTTCAGCTTCGGCAGCAAGGCCACTTTGGTCCTTGCCGCGTTCTTAGCGCCGGTGGTCCGCAGGGTCCAGCTCGAGATGGAAGAGATCGTGGAGACCGGGTCGGAAGCCTTCCAGGTAGTGATCGCCGAGGGCGGCGAGGAGTTGGCTTCCTTCATCGAGACGGTGTTCTCGACAGCTCGATTTGCAATCGTCGGGCTGGTGTTTTGGTGGGTCTCCAGGAAGGTCGCAAACGTGATGATGCACATGGCTCATGGAAACGCGACCCCACGCTTGGTTCAGTTTGACGGAAACGTCTCCACGTGGGAAGTGAAAGGGACCCGAGGAGTTCATCGAGTCAGGATCGCAGGGAGAGCCCCAGGGTGCGCTTGCAGAGAGTTTCTGCGCACTGGCACCTGCGACCACGTGGAAGTCACTTTGGCTGCGCACAAAAAGCTGGTTGGGCCGCAAAGTGCGGAGGCTAGCGTGGCGTCAACGGCCCTGGCCAGGGGAAAAGCCGCAACTGAGGGGCGATCAGTAGAATCGCTTGGCCTTTCGGCTTGCTTCCAAGGCCTTGTGGAAAAGGCCAAAGGCCTACGTTCGGAAGCCCAGCCAGGGTCCAGCGGGGATCAGGGCCAACAGCTGCGAGAGCCAGAGGAAGGCCAGACGCCTGAGTTCGCCGTGCGCAAAGAGCGTGAAAATAAGCCAAGGCTGGCTTTGGAGGATGTGTCACCGTGGACCGGCGTTGCGCTTTCGCGCGGCGGTCGCGGCTCTCAAGACCAGGAGCTGAACGTGCAGCTCTTGATCAACAAGGAGTCGCAGGAGGCCATCCTCTCAGCCTTGCAAAGGCTGAAGGGCGGAGAAGTCATCGCCACAGCCTATACGCTAGACCAACCAGATTTGGTAGAGGGCCTTCTAGTGTTGGGCGGATCAGCCCGGCTGGTGGTGGACAAGGGCCAGAGTCATGGAACGCGCACCAAGCTGCAATTTCAGAGTTTGCAGCAGCTGGTTCGTGGAGGAGTTCGCGTGCGCGCAGTCTCTGGGTCGCACCTGGCGGCGGTGTACTCCGCCGACAACAGAGACACTTCGAGGATCGGAAAAGGTCAGCGTGGAATTCAGCATTCCAAAACCTTCGCGATCTCGAAGGATGGCCAGTTCCAGTTGATCATTGGATCTTGCAACTGGACTACGGCGTCCCGTTCCAATTCCGAAGCTGGTGTCCTCTTGACAGGAAGTTGTGGGCATGGAGTGTACCAGCAGTACACCGAGAACTTCGAGCGGCTTTGGAAGGAAGCTGTCGTCTTTGACGGGACGCGTGTGGCGGAAGAAGAGCCTCGCAGGAGGGTCTTCGGAAAGCAGAGTGCGCCGACGGAAGAGGACTGAACCCGTCGGAGGAGCGCAAGCCAGAGCTCGAAGGGAGCCAGGGCTTGCCTTGTGGCGGAGGTTTGCGGTTCGCATCCTCTGCGCGGGCAAGGCTTGGGGATGAGATGGATCCCACGGCCGCAGAACCCATCTGAGGGGCGATTGTGAGCCTAAGTAGCCTTGCCCGTAAACATGTTTCTGTGTGTGTGTTTCACTTGTGCATGAACTGTTTTTGGCTCAAGGGCCAATACTTTTTGGCTCAAGTGAGTGGCTAGGAGTAGTGCAAGTAGCTTCTCAGCTTCACTAGGCCGTTTCACCGTCTCACCAGCGTGACTGACCCGCGACCTCGCTCGTGCGAGCAGAAACAGCTGCGCGGCGTTCGTACGCGTGCTCGCAGTTAGTAGTAGTAGTAGTAGTAGTAGCAGTAGCAGTAGCAGTAGTAGTAGTAGTAGTAGTAGTAGTAGTAGTGTAGTAGTATATAGTAGTAGTATAGTTGTTGTTGTTGTCGTAGTCGTAGTCATGGTATCTTGAAGGGGTGGTAGTAGTAGTAGTAGCTGTAGTAGTGGTATATGGAAGTGGTGGTAGTGGTAGTGGTAGTGGTAGTGGCAGTAGTAGTCGTAGTAGTCGTAGTAGTAGTAGTAGTAGGTAGTAGTAGTAGTAGGTAGTAGTAGGTAGTAGTAGGTAGTAGTAGGTAGTAGTAGTTAGTAGTAGGTAGTAGTAGGTAGTAGTAGTAGCAGCAGTAGTAGTAGTAGGAGTAGCAGTAGCAGTAGCAGTAGTGGTAGGAGGAGCAGCAGCAGCAGGAGTAGTAGTAGTAGTAGTGGTTTTGGTTTCTGAATCGTTTGACTTGGTTTCTGAATCGGCCCATTTGGTTTCTGAATCGGCTCATTTGGTTCCTGAAGCGGACCATTTGGTTTCTGAATCGGAATGCCTTGGTTTCTGAATCGTAGTTTCTGAATCATCCCTTCTAGATCCTTCTAGTTTCTGAATCGTAGTTTCGTCCGATCCCATTGGGTGTACACAGCATGCAATCAAAAGAACCAGCCCCAGGAGCAGCATAACAACTGTCTGATCCACATTTCGAACCTACTAGTAAAGGATCGGAAGGGAGTTTTCGAAAAAGAAACTAAGAACTTCCCGTCTTCGTAATGTCCACGGGCTGAAAGCAAAATATGGCGCCTGGAATCTTAGCTTTGTAGGCAATTATGTAAAGTAGCAACAAAGCTGACCCCGATCAAAAAGTAATATGTACGTATATACATTAAGCAAGAACTCACCTGGTAAGTTGCGTTCTCTCTGTGATCGCTCGCATGGGTGACTGGTTGCTGCTGGTAGATTCCTTCTCGTGATCCGTTCCTTCCACCAGCAAAAATTGTCCAGTGTGTTTGTACGTGTGGGCTTGTTAGAGTCATCGGTGCATGTTGGGGTTCCAATCCGGGCAAGTGTTAAATGTAAGTGCCAGCTCCTGCGAGGTCACACAATAAACCAATGCTTCTTGAACCCTGTGTGGTGATACCCTCGAGAGAGGCTCTAGACCTCTTCAGCAAAGCACCAAAAGCTGAGTGAACTTGCCTGGCCGCCAGTTCTTTTGCCTGTTCAGCTGCCTTGCGGAACAATGTACACGCCGCTCTCCCAACGATTACTTACGCAAACATGTTTGGAATGACACTCTGCAAGAAAGACGGAAGCATTGCAGTTTGCTTTACAGCTACTCTCTGCCTCTTGTTCTGGAGTGTCCGCGTGCTCAAGGAACATGAAAAGTCTCTGGTAGTCAGAAAAGCCCAAAACATCAGAGCTCTGCCAGAACGCCAAAGCTTGAGGATCATCTGTACTGCCAACATCTGCTGCAACGACCTCAATCAAACACTGGCTGAAGGAGTATCTGGCTCTGGGAGGACAGTGGCAGAACCAGAGGATGTCAAGCTCAGCAGTAGACTCTGAGCAAGTCTTCGTGCTCCAAAGCCTCCGTTCCGATCTGTTCGGCCATCAACGACTGTGTGGACATAGACCTGTTGCGAAATTTGACAGGCATCAGTGCAGGGTGGCGCTGCTAAAACTAGCCCGGAATACTGGTTGGGAGGCTCGAACAACGACTTCAGCCTCATGTGACACAGTTTGACAGTATCAGTATAGCATACCTCTGTTTTGCGAGATCTCTCAGGTTGAAGCTGTTTGTGAGTGAAAAACCGGACTTGCTGCTCCTGCTCCATGAAGGTTTTGGAGAGGCCACCTTTGAAGATCTGAAGTCTAAACATTTTGTCTTCGATTGCGCCAGAGCCGATCAGGCGGTACACAACCACCTGCATGCTCACTAGGCAAACTTTTCCACTGACAAACAACATATGCAAGCAAAAAGTCTCCAGCCTCTTGCTTTTGACCAATTCGATGAACTCTGTCAATCGCTTGTGCGTCTGCTGAAGGATTCCATGCAGGATCAACCAAAATAACTCTGTTGGCGCCCGTGACAGTCAGCCCAGTGCCACCAACTTGCAAACTCAAACCTTGCTTCAGTTCGCGCATTGCGACACGCAAGTTCTGAATTCTAGGGCCCCGACACAAAGCAAAATACTTGGAATCATCTCTCTGGAATTTTTGTAGCTTTAAGTCCCGATCCTGAAAGCATCAATCATTAAAGCTGTCGAGACCCACAAGCAACGGTATGAACTTTGGAATGATTTCAGTTGCTCAAGCAATACACAAAAATAATGAAACGGTTTGAGGTTCTACACGATGGAACATAAACTCCATTGAAATGGGCTGAGCAAAACTGAGACAAGTAGATTCAATCTTTCCTGACTTCACAGGCAAAACCGATGACTTGACACGTGCGATTTGAGAAACTGCAATAATCACAATCCTTGGCATCAATGCTGCCGTCGATCCGCAAGAACTTCAGACCCAAGACTCTGAGCACGCAGCCCTGAAATACACGAAGAAACACGTTTCATTAACATCTACTTTGAGGGATGCTATATAGACAAAAAAAAACACCCACACATTGCCTGGATCAGATCGAGCATCCTCACATTCTGGGAGAAAATTAAGCAGCGGTGGCCTGAACGATGTAAATTCCACAAGCAACATGCAAAAACACATGACATCTACAGACCAAAACTCCGCCCTCCACCAGCACCTCTTTTTTGCAGCTGTGGCAGAAGTACAGAAAGCACTCGGAGTTTGGTCGACAGTAAGGCAGCGCCCTGTGCAGAATTCGGCCTCGCGCAACAGAGCGAATAAATTAATGAATCCCTTCGTTACTGATCTTAGTTGTCTTTCAAGCAGATTCCGATGCACACATGTTTCAAAACAAATTCCTAATCGACCCACCGAGGAGATGGCAAAAGCGCACGAAGGCGTGGCAAAAGCTCACGACACTCTGGTGCCTAGCAAAAGAATGTTGTGAGAGTAAGAGAATGCAGGAACATGCATATATATATACATGTATGTATTATATGTTATATTATATCGTATTATACTACTATACCATATTATATTATCTTATATTATATCGATTGTTTGATAAGCTGTGTGCCTACTCTCTATAAACATCTATAAACATAGATCATCATAGAGCCAAACCCCAGAAACATCTACAAACCCCGACTGCCTCTTGCGTAGCAACATCATCTGAGACTTCTTTCGAAGGCTCTGGCATATCTGGAATCCTGCCCTGCAAGGTTTGAGCCTGAGCTTGAGGCCGTTCTGTGCAAGCTGGCGACCAAGTTTGCAAAGCTGCTAAGATGCGAACTCGCCATTGATTGTACTCGTCTTGAGGCCTGTTTGCTCTATCTGTACTTGGTACATGCTGCTCCAAGAGTCTGACTCGGCCCTGGACAAGCACAAAAGTGGATGGCCACACCTCATCTTTGAAAGGGTGGCGGGAGATGGCGGGAGGGGGTGGCAGCAGGATGTGCGATGTGCGGCGGATTCAGGTGGCATGATGATGTTTCGGGAAGGGGCTGGCACTTTGGTGCAGTTAGTTCACCTTGTCCCTTCCTCTCGGAAATGCAAGGCATTTGACAACTAACAGAACATCAACTGACCTTACCCGCTTGAGATTCCAACGGCAATGGCTTCCAAATTGACCGGACGACTTTTCATGATCATTCTATGACCCCCAGAAACAAGTACAGTCTGCGTCTTCACAATCCATGGAATCCATGGTTTCTTGAATACTGACTGTGCTTTGCATGGTTTGTCGAAATGCTCAGCACAACTAAAACCAAACTCTTTCTATTGCGCATTCTCTTCTGGGGCCATTGCCACACCTCTTTTGCGCTCTTCCTCTCTCTCTCTCTCTCTTGTGAGGTTGCGCTTCATGCAGGCTTTTGATGGAAAGTTCGGATACACACTTGCGACTTTCAAAGAGGAATGGGGTGAGAAAGACACACCGGCCGGGCACTGCCCAGGCTACGGTGGAAGAAAGCAAGAGGTCGAAGCAAGATGCAATGTCAAGAATGGTCAGGAATTGCGCGCGTGCTGTCTACAACGTCACGTCCTATTCCTACTTTCGAGATGATTTGAACAACACTGACATGCACAAGTGTATCGATCCCTTAGGCATCATTTACTCGAGGCCCAAAGACAAGTGGCGGATAATTCTTCTAGTGTTGGATCAAGCGAGAGTCACTTTGCTGCCATTGGCGCAATCGACTTTGAATGAAATGATAAAACACAAGGATATCAGACCCCACGACAGGTGGAATAGTTTATTGGAACCAGATCAAGTGCAAAGGCTGATGGACAAGTACGAAGATTACGGAGCGCATGTGCTACCCAGCAAGAGACGAACCAGCCATCCTAGCATCGCACCTGAAATTGAACGTCCACCGTCAGAAGCAGCTTCATCAAGTCACCATGGACAAACAAAAGGACACCACGAAAAGGAAGAGGAAAAGAAGGTGGAAGGAGCTCCAAAGGTCGAGGTACTTCCTGGCAGTCGTAGCTGGAACACCTATGGAACAACGTTCTACGATGAGGATTGGACCAATATTCGTGTCAGAGATGATCGTCGAGGTTGGGACGAATGGAAACGTGACCAAGGAGCGAGACGAGAAGATGAGGAAGAAGATACCGGACGATAGGACAAGTTCAGCGCACTGCGTATGAGCCTTTGTCAAGCAAGGTCAGCGCACTGCGTATGATCCTTGAACAGTCGTAAGAGCATCTGCAAGTGCACTTTCTACAGTTGAGAGAAACCCCAAGAACTCGGTCTATCTCACGACGAAGATCTACTGAGAGAGAGATTCTGAGATATTCTGAGTGCGGCATCCTTAACTGTCAGTTTTCACAATTAACTTGTATAGCCAATAGGTTGGATTGCACGCTTTGTATGTAAAAGCCCGCTTAGTTTCAACAGCGTTGTGTAGTTGGAGTCTATTCTCATGCGTCTCGCGGCAAACCATAACGACCCGCTGTACAGTAGTACACTACCCTTGAATTTCAACAGGTGTGCCCAATGCTGAAAGCGTCGGACACATGGGGGGTGTCAATAGCAGTGGAGCGACAAGCACAATGTATACTCGTATAGAATAGTACAGTGTGAACTGCCAACATTTGGCTCAAGTCACCCGTAGACATAGCGGAAAAAGGGAGCGCGCTGCCGCCATCTACAGGGGACTAGGATAGTCAATCCATACTTCACGCTGGACTGATTAATATCTTGCAATTTGAATCTTCCGATAGCTCGTTCTCCTCGAAACATGTGCCATGCTTCCATATAGGTATGAGCCACTTTGAGTCCGCGAAACTTCTCATCTGCTCTTCAGTTGGATCCAGAGGCGTATCATCCTTGTCGAATCCGTTGTGAACTCCTTTGGTGAAGTCTGACATGACGTCGAGCCGCTTCCTGACGCAATGTTGCTTGAACTCTGCGACGCCCGTCTGGTGAAATGACCTAGACATGGGAGTCATCAATTGGGACATACGGCGAACAACGTACTTGTCCGTAAGTCCTGATGAACCCTTTCCAGTGTCTTGGCATCCGGCTTCGTCTTGCAAGTCAAAAGGAAAAGGTATTGGTTCTGGGTACCTGCGCCATTTCGGAAGTTCATGATTGGCAAGATTTTCTTCTGGGTCGAAGGATCTTGGTCCAATGTCCTCATTGGTTCGCTTTTGGATCTCATCTTTTTTGTCCTCTGTTTCAACTTCTTCAATCACCTTGTCTGACGACTTCGGGAATTCAGTTGCGCTTCTGTAGATTGCGTCGTTCTTCGATCTCAGGCGCCTGGGAGTCTCTGTCATAGTCCACGTCGTCCACATCAAAAGATGGTGTGTAGACTTCTTGACCCTCCCCTTTCTGTGCATCTGAGTTCTTCATGATATTGTCGATGAATTCTAAGCTGACTTCCTCGTTTTCATCATCGCGCTCGATCTGAGACCGCAGTGCAGTCTTGACCTCGTTCATCTTCAACTTGTCAATGGTTTCTTGCTCTTCTTTGGCGGGATCCTTAGCTGGCTCCATCTCTACATCGTCTACCACTTTCACTTCATCGTCGTAAATCTCGATGGTTGTGGTCGTAGCGACAGTGTTCTTGATTGTGCAGCTATGTAACCGCTCATGGCAATGAAGACACATTGTGAAGACGTTCGGTGTGACGTTCATACATGCGGGACATGTTGCCGTCAACGCTGCTGAAGCCTTCGCAAGTTCGAGCAAAGATCTCATTCCATGGCTCCTTCTTTGTTCTCTTGGCGTCGCCGTCATTGATGAAGAGAAGTTGCCACCTCAACAATTTGCTCTTTTGTTGCAATTTTTGCTGGGTAGGTCGCTGCTGCGATAAGGTGGTTAGTAACCCCTTTCATCAACAATTTTTCCATTCGCCTTTGACTGGATCTTTGTACCATGCTCCTCTGACATTGTCCCATGGCACCTCCTTGAACATGATGACATATGAGCTCTCTGCAAGGAGGGCTCCGAGGTTCTTCAGGCAAGCGATTGGTTCAAATAAGGCTACTGGAACGTCGTCCGTCGGGGCCTTTGATCTCAAGACTAGGTTTGCTCGGCTGTCCCACGGTGCGAAACGGTTGAAGAATGAACTTCCCCTTGTGCCTTTAAGTCCACCAGGTTGAATTCCATGTTTCATGATAGATGGTAATCTTCCGATAGTTGTTCCACCAAGTTGGACGGCAAGGGCGTCGGCGATGTCGTGTGATGTGAGGTGGGGATCAAGGACGACATCGTTCTCGTTCTTGTCAGACTGTCGCGAATCAAGGTTGCGTGATGACGCTGCCCTCATCGCTACAGGAAATAACCATCTGTCTTTGTCCCTTTAATACCTCATGTCATTCGGCCCGCCATAGTTCTTCTCCCAATATGCTCTTTGTTCTTCATTTGTAGCGTCATTAACAGATATGCGGACTGCGGCAATCTGGAATCTGACACGCGGCTCTGAAGCTTCCTCGAATACCACATAGCCTGACAGCATCGTCGGCATCGCGTCGTCAATATCTCTTCTAAATATCCTCCTCGTTCTGCGTCTCTGATAATGCGGTTGCTATTGTCATTGGAGATGTGGCCGTGCGTGAGTACATCATTGATGTTCACCCATCCTCCTTCGTTGCATGGAAGAATGTCATGGTGTCTACCTGAGTGACCTACTAGCTTTGCCTTTCCGGTTTGATGTCTTAGGACCTTGTTGAGCTTCCTACTGATATCATTATATAACTGTGGCATAGTCATCCGTGTCCTTGTTGAGATAATGTTCTTGATCAAAGGCAGGTGGAGTAAGGTAGTCCGTACCAGTCTGATCCTCTTCTCCATTCCATTTCTTGATGCAGAAGGTGGTGCCACATTGCGGGCTGATTTTAATGTTGCCTCTGTCACAATCCAGCCAAATCTGTCGGTATGCACTCTTGTGTTCTTGGAGTGGATCATCCTTCAGCTCTGATACTTTCGGTAGCTTGGAACCTGCCGATTGTGCCCTGGTTACTCTTCAAGCGCTTTCTTGTCCGGCGGCCCAGACATGTCCACTCTTCGATCAATGACCTTGAAAGCGCCTCCTTCCTGCTCGTCTGCAATCGTACAGATATCCACTGGATCGTTGAACCTGATGATGATTGTAGCGTTGCCGAATGAGCGTTTCATGGATTCGACAGCTTTCTCATATTCTTCATTGCTGCTCGATGACTTCGACTGAGATTGCTTTGCCCGCTTGCAGTCTTTGCCCTTTTCTTTTCCCTTTCGGCCTCATCTCTCTTCATGATCTCCTCGTCGCGCTTCGTGAAGTTGATCTTGAGGATCTTCTCGATATGATCAAAGCAATCAACAATATTCCTCATGTCTTTCGCGAAGTTCTCATTGTCACAGTTCTCCAACGAGTGTTCATCTGAGCCGCAACAAAGGCAAAGCTTCTTTTCTTGAGCTCTCGTCTTCACCCTTCACATGTTGTCGTAGGTCTGTTTCCATGAAGAAGATGATGGCTCAATTTTCCTTGCTGAGAAGGGTCCTGAATGTGGCGGATTCGTCCAAGTTGCCGTCGGCGATGTCGATCTTCCTTCGCCTTCCTTGTAGTCCATGGGATCTACTTCGGGGGACACAGGTTGTGCTGCTGGGTTTCATTCTGCTGATGATTTCTGGCTTAGGATATTTCCTCATCGTATTCTCATCTCGGCTCTTTCATCAGCTGATGGGAAACTGCACGGAGATTTGTTCCTCTTTGTATTGTCGTTGATATTTCTCCGGCTTGCTGCATAGAAGGTGAGAGATGATAGTTCAAACCCTCGCCTGCGCTCATCAACACACTTCCAACCCTTGAAGAGGTTGTGTTGAAAGATGCTTGCTAGCTCAAAGACTCCTAACCAGAATTCAACAATGTCACCTGCGAGTTCAGAGTTGGTCACCCTGTCCTTGTGCTCGAG